CACTCTAGACTGGCGGACAGCTTGACGCTCTTAGGAACAGTGCTGCTGCTTTCCTTCAAACAATCTAGCTCGCATTGCTGAGAGCTGTCTGTGACTGCACTGATATCCCCGCTACCTACTTTCGCTCCTTCTGAGCTTTCTTCGGTGTCCTTGCGTACTTCCACACTGTTTGCAAGTTCCACCGTTGCGACAAACACAGTTGAGGTCTGTGCCAAATTGTCTACAGCTATTCTAGCTGTTTCGCTAGCATTAAACTTGCACAGCACCTCATCGCATTCGTTCTGGCCTGCGTCGGGCTCTCTACTTAGCGCAGCATCTTTAGCAGCACTCAAATGTGGTTCTTCATCAAACCTGCTGCTGTCCTTAAACGTGCTAGCCTTATCTAAAGCTCAGGGCTGCACCTCACTTATTTGGTCATCGCACTTCTCGTGCGCTACAGTTGCGGATCGCTGAATCTTCCGCCACCTTGCCTCGACTTTTTGTTCCGACAGTTCAATCCCTAGGCTGAGTGCTCGCTCACGCTCTTCCCCTCGCTCCCGCTTTTCTATCTCCCATTTTCGCTCACTATCCACCTTGGTGCTATAAGAGACACGCGGACCTCTCTCAAGCTTGGTTTTTCTACCAGCACAACGTCGCGCGTTCTTCACGGGAGCGTTCGTGAGCTTGTACTCTATTCGCTTTCTGTCAACTCTGATGCCGAAGCACCGCAGTAAAGCTGCCTTAGCTACATTGTACATATTGAACTGTTCCACGGAAAGGTAGTTTATTCTACCCATCAAGTTGACCGGAAGGACACTCAATAAGGTGATAGACCAATAGTCTTCGTTGAGCTCTAGATCTCTGCAAACTTTCTCGTAAGAGGTTAGATAACTCTCTAAATCCTCACCCTCTTCGAATGCATGCATCCTCGAATTTACTTGAGCCGATCTAAGGCACTGTATTGATCTTTTTCTCTCTTGCTGTTTTAATTTCAGGCTTCCCTCCCACTGGTCTTTTCTTTCTGTCGTTCCAATCTTTATTTTTCTTCCCTATCTCGTTTCCGTGCCTCTCTTTTGCGTTCTTCTCGCTCCCGTTCCTCCAGTTCCTGTTTTTCAAGAATCTCTACTGCGTTTTAATCTCGTTCTCACTGGCTTTTTGCGAGATCAGCCTCGCAATCGCTGTACTGCCTATTCCTTCCTCTATTTCAATGCCTAGATGCTTAATCACATCCAAAAGTTCATCTCTTAGCATTGCCTTCCATGACATGATTGCCGTTGTACTTTGGTCCTGCATTTCACACATAATTAGGTGATCCCTACAACTCAAAACTCCCAAAAGGTAATCTCCCCAGCTCACACACAATCCAGCTTCTAATCAATGCACACTCAAGAAATGAAGCCTGGAAAGTTATAGCAAAGACCAAGCACTCACCACAGCACAGCACCATGTCGTGAAGTCTATCTCACCGCTGCCAACCAGTTGTAAGAGATGGGAAGGAAGGTCGCTGATGATGGCATCCCACCGCTGCCACCAGTTGTTAAGGGTCGGAAGAAAGGACGCTGGTGGATACGAGATGATACAGGTTTATGGCACTATACACATATTTACAGTAAAGAAAGGTTAGGGGTTTCACAAACCACGAGCATGGTGGTTGAACCGCTACATGGTTCAGAGCGACGTCCAGCACTCTGCGGCGTCGTTTAAAGCCCTGTCGGGCTCCTCCTCTCTGAGTGGAACACCAATCACACACACACAACAGGTGAGGGGGACGAGCATGCACGGTCCACGTGAACATTCGATTTTGAGTTGTGAACACTGCACTGCAAGGTGGCGCAAGCAGGGCTCTTCCTCGTCGTGTGTGTGCCGCTAGTCGACAGTTCCCACGATCCTAGCACCATAGTTCAAAGGGTCCGCCGCACAGCTCGCCCAATTGGCGGGGTGATTTGCGGTGGCCGCCGTGGTCTCTTCCAGGAAGAAGCTGTCTTTGTTGTCCTCCCTCGTCGTGGCGACAAGACGTCTCATCTTCCGGCTAGCCGGGACAATGCCTGGCGGGCACAGGCCGGTCGTCTACTTGATTGGAGATTAAAAGGAGCGCCACTCTCCTGTCAGCTCTGGCGCCGGTCACGCCAGCTTCCCCGTCGCCGATGAGTCGCGGAGGGCATCAGTCACCGCTTCTGCTCGAAGAGACGACAAAAGGGTCCGCATTTGAAAGACGGGAACTCGCCTTTGCTTGCCGCATGGTCTGGATAATTGCTCCAGTCTTCGACAGCGTATGTCAGACTGGGCGCCGAAGGGATTGAAAGCCTTCCCAGTGGACCGGCTTACGCACAATGGCGTCTCCCCAGACGAATTTCCAGGCGAAACTTAACAAGGCTTAATTTCGAGAAAGCATTCGCGTTAGTTCAACTTATAAAGCGTTTTAAAAGAGCGAAAGAACTAGCAGTCGAGGCACAATGTGAATAGCGGAACGAGTGCCTCGTCCAATGCTCCAACGCATTACGACAGCTTGTTTTAGTTCAACTAATAACTGTGGCTTATACCCACATCAGACATAAATCTTCATCGTCGTCAGCCACTGCATGAACAATCGGCCCAAAATTTCTCGTAATAATTTAGCGGATACCTCGCTTTTCAGAAGAATGACGAAAAATAGCAAAGCGAATCCCGACATACTACCCTTAAGCTTTTATTATTAATGCCGTAGTGGGCATCAAGCAAGTAGGCTTGGAGCAGTTACCGAATGAGTGCTTAGAAAAAAGGCCGCTCTTCTAGCTTTCGCTGTGACTGGGCTGCGCCTTCCATGCAGGCCTGGCGTTTTTTTCGTCGGTGCTCACGCTGAACAGGAGCGACAACATAGCAAGCCACACGTGTGATTTCTCCAGCCGTCATTGCTTTTAATTTAATTGTAATAATATGGAATAGATTTGAAAACACAATGCTGATCTCATCAGCTTTTTTTGGACGACTTGACACTGTGTACATCATGCACATTGTGGTTCGCTATACTGAGTCAAGCATGTCAACGAGAAATACTTCATCTGCCTGATTGGAATTCAGAGACCATCATTTCGCCCTTTTTATGTTACTCTGCTAGAAATAGTGCATTGTCTTGAAGAGTTTTCTTAAAGTAATGCCAAAGTTGAACTATTTTTTGCAGTTGCTAGGCACCACCGCAAGTATATTTGGAGTTCCTGGAAATTAATACTTAACTATTTTTAGCAGTAGTCGTGGAAAAGTAGAGCACCGATCAATCTTGTAGCTAGAGAAGCTTGACCCACGTACGAGCGCAAACAGCGAGAGTCGCCTGAGTCCTTAACCAGTCCTAGTGTGACACTTGGCAAAATAGTCCTTTCACACTTCCTGAGAGGCCGAGGAGACTCTCCCAGAACGCCCCAAATCAGACCCACCTAGAGAATCAGAACCCTCCGAAAAGAGTCAATTGTACTTTTATGCATAATTATTTGGCACAAAAAATTCCTTGAAAGTGTTCAGTTGTTGCCACGCTGCTAACAAGAATGACAAAAATAGCATAGCTGCTGCTGGCCTACTACCCAAAAAACTTTTATTATTAATGTGGTGGATATCAAGCAAGTTTACTTGTAGTAGTTACCCATTAAGTGTTATTCCTTTTTGCTAATTTTATATATTCTGTTTTATCAAATACTTTCGCCATTTTTCACCTGTTTTTTTTTAAATGCTATTATCGCTCTTATATGAATTCTCTCTTTTAGCAAGCATTAGGTAAAAAGTTTACATTATAAGGTACAGTGTCGCCGATCCCCCTTGTAGGTATGAGCCAAAATCTTCTAGGCGACAAGAACAAGAACGAGTGTTTTGAAAGGCTCTGAAAGGCCGCTCTTCAAGCTTTTGCTGTGACTGAGCTGTGCTTTCCGCGCAGGCCTGGCGTTTTTTTTTAAATGCATTTCGCTCCTAGAGGCTGACAATACGGTGGTGTGGGGAGTATACTGTTTGCCAAAGTGGCGGCAGCTATCAATTCGTTCGCAAGTATTTTGCATGAGTTAGAAAGAAATCGTGGCGTGGAATCGCTTGCTTCGTCAAATAATGAAAACGTACGGTGGTGCTACGCCACACATGGTGCTCAAGAGTTCAGTGAGTATGCTTACAGGGAGAGGATCTCCAACAATAGCCAACACTCAAAAGCTTGCCGGTGGTTGCTACATCGTTTCCAGCCATCGCCACAATCACGACAATGCAATTACATCAGCCGTTCAGCGTATGCAACCGTTTCGGACATACGCTGTCTATTATTCAGCACGCAGGACGTGCGGCAGCGGCCACCCTTTGCTTTGCATGGTGGACATTGGACCGCCAACCAAACTAAAGCTACGGAAGCTTTAGCGATCAGGGAATACTGCTCCACAGTCATTAGAGCGATGTTACCAATAACTACCACCGGCGTTTCGTTGGTCTACTGGTGCGACCACAACCTGTCACGATACTTTGTAGGTAGTCTAATAGGTGAAGCACATTTTGAAAACTTCCTTTTGAATCCTCAGGTTATCGTAAATATTGAAGTATAAACGGATTTCGAGTTTCGTGCATAGCTTAAAGAAACATATACAACCTACATTCGAAACAAACATAAAATTCATAACATAAACATAACATAAACAAACATAAACAACCTACATTCGAAACAAACATTGGAAACATATAAAACCCACATTCGAAAAAAAAATCCGTTGAAGAAAAGCTCGCTGTACTATAACTGAAGTAGTTTTAATTCCATGAATAATAACTTCGGCTAAGGAGAAACATGGCTCAAAGCGTTTTGGGGGCAGTGTGCTTAAAATGCCTTTACGAAGTGCAAACATCACTTTATGTTGAATTTTATGACACATAATTAGCTGTATTGTGTAATGCTATAGCAAAAAAAAATTATCCTTTCATCAGGCTTCCAGTGGGTGACCGAAGAAGTCACCTATTTTTCAGATTTAATAAAGCTTTTGTTTTATCTACTATCAACTTTTCAAAATGATGCTTGCTGCATGCTCACTTACCCACTAACAACAAACACCACGTCATTGTTCAAGTTAATGTTTCTGTGGTCCACATATATAGAAGCCTTCCTGAGACTTTCTTGGCAGAAAAGTTCATTGTCTTTTAGCAACTTGATGTACGGTTCCTTATTCTGGAATGTGCATGTTGTTAGAAGAGATTTTCGAGTGTTTGATCACCGTATAGAAAACTTACCTTCTCTGTATAGCTGGTGCCTTTGATAATTAATGTGCCAGGGCGACGAAGCCCTTGTAAAATTTTGCTAACCTACTGGAAAGAATCGGCTTGGTCATATTCATAACTTTTAAGCATGCCATGAAAAAAATTATTCTAGCTTGGCAATCGTTCGAGTATTCTCAAAGAGACAGGTTTGTTTTGCTTACATGAGAATGTGATTATAATAATTTTGTCCCGAGCGTATAACATTAGGTATTCATACAACCCTTGATGCACACTATAGGCTTTTTAACGGCATGAATTATTGGTTTGTGCATGCATAACTGTTTGCTAGAACAATCTCAGCGCTGTCCATAGTCGTTAAACGAGCCGACCATTAGGATCTTTTAGTGAAGATAACCAGCAAAGCGCATGGTGGTCTGTTACAATATCAAACGGACGTCCATATAAATAACGCCGAAATTTTCCGATTGCCCAAATAATGGCGAGGCACTCCTTTTCAGTTACACTGCAATTCTTCTCGGCTTTAGTGAGGGTGCGGCTGGCATAGGCAACGACGTACTCGTCAAAGCCTTCCTTGCGTTGGGCCAGTATGGCCCCTAGCCCGACACCACTAGCGTCCGTATGAAGCTCCGTTGGAGCAGACGGATCGAAATGTCGGAGTATGGGAGGCGTGGTGAGAAGCCGTCGGAGTTCCTGAAATGCATCATCACACGCCTGCGACCATGCTGACAAATCAGAACTTCCGGCAAGGGGGTCAAGGGGGCGATAATGGAGGCGAAATTGCGGACGTAGCGCCTGAAGTAAGAACATAGGCCGATGAAGCTTCGAAGCTCTTTGATGGTGGTTGGCTTTGGGAACGCCGCGACTGCATTAGGTTCCTTGGGTCCGGGAGAATGCCGTCCTTAGAAACCACATGGCCGAGAATTACAAGCTTGCGAGCGCCGAAGTGGCATTTCTTTAAGTTAAGTTGAAGTCTCGTCATGGAAAGGCACGTAAGAACTTGCTCGAGGCGGCGGAGGTGGGTCGCAAAGTCGCTTGAAAATACCACAATGTCAACCAAATAACAGAGGCACGTTTTCCATTTCAGACCTCGCAAGACGGTATCCATCATCCTTTCGAAAGTGGCAGGCGCATTGCAGAGGCCAAAGGGCATAACGGTGAATTCATATAGTCCATCCGGTGCTACAAAGGCTGTCTTTGGGTGGTCACCCTCTGCCATGGGCACCTGCCAGTAGCCGGAGCGTAAATCTAACGAAGAAAAGAACTCTGCTCCGTCTTTTTTCTTGACGAGAACAACCGGTGAAGCCCAGGGACTGTTGGAGGGCTCGATGATGCCACGTTTCAACATGTCGTCCACTGGTTCGTCGATGACACGGCGTTCAGCAGATGACACACGGTACGGACGCTGTCTTAGCGGGGCTTGTTGACCGGTGTCAATATGGTGAACGACCGCGGAGGTTCGGCCTAAGCCTGACTGGTCACGATCGAATGAAGAACGAAAGCAGAGAAAAAGATTTATAATCTCTTGGCGCTGAGTCGGTGCGAGCTCAGAGTCGATGGCATCCGAGAATACGTCCAGAGCATCATTAGGCGCGTTGGTAGGAGTGACAGCACAAATTGGGAGCGAAACCGTTGAATCGGGTATAGTAGCCGGAAGAATGCACTCGCAAGGTTCGTAGCTTCCCAGGCATTCTCCACGTTGTAGGGATGACGGGCTGTCCGAGGGATTGCACACATAAATGGCAGCGTGACCATTGCGAAAATTTACGACGGCAAACGGAAGCATGATATTTCGACGGCACGCAGATGGGACCGATGGCATAAACAACACAGGCGATTTCGGAGGGAAGGCACACGACACAGAGACAACAACAGCTGAGAAAGGCGCAATGTCAACGTCAGAAGCAGCAAACACTCTACACGAAGCGCCATCGTCGGGGTCATAGCACGGCACAGATAATGAGAGTTCAGAACGAGCACAGTCGACCAAAGCAGAATTTGACGAAAGAATGTCCCACCCAAGGATAACGTCATGCGAAGAACGGAATAAAACTACAAATGTGAGACGTACATCGCACCTTGAATGACGACTCGTGCAGTGCACAAAGCTGAAGGCTGGATATGATGGGACGTAGCTGTCTGCAAAGATAAGTCGGTAAGTTGTGTGGTCACATTCTTCAAGTTTCGGCACAGTTTCTCGCTAATTACAGATACGCAGCTCCAGTGTCAACAAGTCCGTGCACCTTAATGCCATCAATATAGGGTTCGATTTCGTTCGGGGGACAGCAGTTAGGTCTTGAAATTTTCGCGGCCAACGCAGTTCTTGCCTCCGGAACTGCGCCCGTCAGTTTCCCCTCGCGGTGGGCTGTTGCGACGTAACATAGGAGAAATAGATCGACGACGAGGAGAAGGTGAACGGCTAGCGCCGGATGGTCGGCGACCGGGACGTACGTCTAGAGGTGGATCGACAGGAACGGAATATCGCGGCTGAGTTGGCATGATGGGCATATATTGTGAGGCCCCTGCAATGTCGTGAGAAGGGAAGCTGCGACGACGGCAGTGACGAGCTACGTGGCCTGGGATGCCACATGAAAAACATATCGGCCGATTATCCGGAGTGCGCCATCGGCTGACGATAGGGGCACTGTTCGCTGAATAAGGTACCGTAAAAGGTCGTGCAGGCGGCGGCGTCATATAAACGTTCTGACCTGTTTCATGTACAGCCGGAGACGGGACGGTCAGCGAGCGGGAGGGTGGCGTCGACGAATAAACGTGGGGAGTAGCTTCGTAGATGGCCGGAGACGCTGGCGCACGTGGCCGAGCAACTGCGGCTGCATACGTTAGTGGTGCGGTAACAGTTGGTGGAGCCTGAGCTGGCGGCAATGCTTCGGCAACTTGCGATTTAATGACCTGGCGAAGCGAAGGCGACAAGGGTGCCATTGGCTCGGTAGTTCTTGTGATTATAGATAGCTGCCGGGCGACCTCCTCGCGTATGAATTGCTTTATGACTGGCATCAACGCAGAGTGGTCGGCGGTGTCATGGCGATAGTCGAGGGATGAGATGTCCGCGGTGTCTTGAGCAGCGCAACATGTAGAAGCGCGCTGCCTACGCAGCTCATCATAACTTTGGCAGAGCTGAATCACCTCGGCTACCGTCTGGGGACTCTTCGCAGCCAGCATTTGGAACGCACCGTCGTCGATTCTTTTCATGATGTTCTTGATCTTGCCTACCTCGTCCAGAGTCGAATCGACGAGCTTGCAGAGAAATAGCACATCTTCGATGTAGCTCGTGAAAGTTCCATCTGCTCTCTGTATTCTGCCCCGCAAGCACTGTTCAGCACGAAGGCGGTGGACAGCAGGATGGCCTAAGACTTCCGCGAGGGTTTTCGCCCATTCCGACCAGGTACTGAAATCACTTTGATGATTTCTGTACCATAGTTTTGCCACGTCGGTCAGGTAAAAACTCACATTTGTGAGCTTATCGGCTGCGTTCCACTTATTGACGGCGCTCACCAGTTCATACTCGGCAATCCAGTTGTCCACATCTTGGTCCTCTGTGCCACCAAATATGGGGGGGTCGCGCTGCCGGAGAGCGCCAGCGCAGAAGACAGGCACAGGTGCGAGATCTGGAGTAGCAGCATGAGATGGCCCCGGATCAGTCATTGTAGGAGGTCGTTGAAGTGTGCGGCTGCGAAGTTCCAGGGTGAGGACCAAATGTACCCAGCACCTCCACCACTTGAAACGGGTTGTTGAACAAGCAGGAGTTGACTCGGCGAAGGAGAGCTTTATTTAGCGCAAGGGTTAACTGAACGCAAGCCTGCGATCGCAGCAAGTCTTCTTCCTTCTCTATACTCGAGCTCCATGCCCACTGCCCTCGTTACAATCCTTACAGAATTCTGTTGTGTGAGAAACACTTTATCATTACGATCTCGAACTGCAGACCTCAGACATTAACAAACGTGAGGCAGTGACCGTTCAGGCAAACTTGTGGTAGATGGTGCAGCCAACACACATTCTACACCGTTTTTGCCTTCTGCCGGTGGTAGCAATTCAGTTCGTCACTAAGACAGCGCGCGTTTTCACGCTGCTGTTCGGCTGCGTGTATAGGAGCTCGCACTAAGCCACGGTGTTAGCAATGAGCGTGCGATGTGCCACACTAGCGGGAATAGAGTGTGGTTGGACACACAGCGTCTCCGATGGAAATTCTGACATTTTTCCACAGCTTCCGAACAAAGTTTTTTGATCCCTTCAAGTGAACATCCAGAATACCATGTAGCACAGCTCCACTTTTCCAAAGCATTGCAATTTCTGAGCTTGCTAAGATATTCTGGCACTGATGCACACCTAATCACCAATCACAACAATAATTATGAACAGCAGAAACAATCCAGGTCCGCGGTGGTGTAGTTATATAAAAGCAGCAACATTTGGCAACGTTTGGCATATTATAGTGGGAAACCCCAGTCCATCACTGCATTCATTTCATCTACCCATGTAGAGCTACACATGGCTCCCATTACCGGGAGATGATGTAATTTTTTTCTTCTATCTGTTATGCCGGGGGCATCTCTATGACGGAGTAAGTATGAGTGAAAATATAAGAATGAAGACAAAGATCTATGACATGAACAAGAAAAGTTGAGAAAACTGACCGCCACAGCTTAGTGTGTTTCTCTTTTTGTGCTGTATTCTTCAGCACCTGGGGTCACCAGTAGAAGGACGAGCTAACCATATCATAGTTTTACCAACAGAAAACGCCGCTTCGTCAACCCGATTTTGTGGTACTCAGTATCTCGAGGTAGGTTACTTCAGCAGCACTTTAGCAAACTTCAAATGCCATGAATACAATATACGTTATACGCA